ATCCAACCTAAACCTCCCCTGGCACAGCTTCAGACCCAGCCCTCTTGTCTGGGAAAAGAGCCCAACCCCCCCTGGCTCCCCCCTCCTGTCAGGGAGTTGCAGAGAGTGAGGAGGTCTCCCCTGAGCCTCCTCTTCTCCAGGCTGAACAGCCCCAGCTCCCTCAGCCTCTCCTCCCAGCACATGTGCTCCAGTCCCTTCCCAGCCTTGTTGCTCTTCTCTGGACCTGCTCCAGGATCTCAGTGTCCTTCCTGTCCCCGGGGCCTGCAGGGAGGGTCGGTGGTCATGGTTGTCACTCTTCTGTCAGACGGATTTCACGAGGACTTAATCCCAAATGAGTGGAAAGGTGTTACAGGAAGGCCAGGCTTAATCCTCATAACTGGGATCTGCTCACCCCAGCTCGTGCCTACAGGAAGTAACAAATATTCCTGGAGTGCCCTGTGACAGTGAAGTGCCTTGGAATTAATTCCAGCCAGGCTCACTCAGCTCTCGGCTCTGTCGCGAGGAGAAGAGTCCTCAGAGTTTGCTTTGGAGTGTTGTAGCTGCTTTTCATTCTCAGCTGAAGTCTTGATGCACCCTTAGCTTGGCCTGGCCTTGTGCTGAGGCAGCTGCTGGAGGACTGGGTAAATAATTCAACAGCCAGAAAATATAACAGGGCTGGAAGAGACCTGGCTCCTGGAAGAGACCTCCAAGCTTGGAGACATGGAGAGAAAGGAGAGAAAGAAGTTATTAAAATAAAAAGATGCCCTCAGTGCAGCTTTTGGGGATGATGGGAGGATGGAGGTGCCTTCTTACCCAGTGCCATGTCCAGTCCTTCCTTGGACACCTCCAGGGTTGGGGACTCCACCACCTCCCTGGGCAGCCCCTGCCAATGTTTAACAACCTCTTCCATGGAGAAATTCTTCCTGATGTCCAACCTGACCCTCCCCTGGCACAGCTTGAGGCCATTCCCTCTCCTCCTGTCCCTCATTCCCTGAAAAGTGAAGTATAAACCATTTTCCCTTGGTTTTTTCCAGCCTACGAGCTGCAGGAGTGCCCCGACCCGGAGCCTTTTGCCAACGGGGTGGTGAGAGGGGCCGGGTACAACGTTGGCCAGTCCATCTCCTTCGAGTGCCTCCCTGGCTTCCACCTGATCGGCCACCCCGTGCTGACCTGCCAGCACGGCACCAACAGGAACTGGGACCACCCCCTGCCCCGCTGTGAAGGTACGGCCTGGGGGCACCCCTGTGGGTGTCCCTGGGCACTGGAAAGGTTCCAGCTCTGTGCTGGCCTCCTGTGAGTCCTCCTGTGGTCACTGGGCTGGAAGTGACTCCGCCGAGCAAAGCGTGGCTGGAGGTGGGCTGGGAATCAGAGAATCATGGAATCATGGAATCATAGAAACATAGAAACATAGAATCAGCTGGCTTGGAAGGGACCTCTGAGATCATCAA